AGCCTTCCAAGTAGCCGGAACTACAGGCGCGCACTACCACGCCCGGCTGATTTTTTGATTGCTTGTAGAGATGAGATCTCACTGCCCAGGCGGGTCTCGACCCCGCAGACTCAGGCAATCCACTCACCCCAGCCTCCCAAAGGCGGGGGATTACAGGCTGAGCCACCGAAGCCGGCTAGCAATTTTTAAAAACTCTTAAAATGCACAAAACAGCAAAGGCTGCCACAAAGGCGAAGGGGAGACAAATGGGACCAGGCATCCAACTTCGTTAGTAACATTATGCTTTTTTGGGAAAAAAGGAAACTGATGAAAAATAACTTTTTTTGCCATTACTTAAATTTTTTTTTTTTTACTGGGAAACGATCTCAGCGATCAACCATAAGAGAACCCAACAATTCACTACACCCAAGTTACCGAAAGCTTCCAGGGTAAATGACAGCACCCAGCAAGCCAGTGTCCTCACCATGGGTGGCCTCCATGTTCCATGGGGGTCTTCCTCCTGTGTCAGAGGACATGATGACTTTCATCTACGCGGCCTCTCTGTCTGCATACCCAACCCTCATCTCCTAACTCCAGGATCACATTTCCTCAGTTATTGTCTGTCTCTTACATGTGTTCAGTCTCTTATTCTCCACAGTCTAGAGACACGTTCACATCTCTGTCACTTAAAAAATAAATGATCTTAGCCTTGACGTCGTCAACTTTCTTTTTAATTTGCAACTAAATTTCTTAAAAGGGAAGTCGGATGACTTCCAGTTTTTCAACTCACCACAATTTGGCATCCACTCTATAGCTATTCCCTTTTTAAAATGTTCTCCCCTGGGCTTCTCTGGCAGTCTCTTTCTTGGACTTCCCTTCTCACTGCCTATCTTCTTCCCCTCAATCATTTTCTAACTAACCGTATCAATTTTCTGGGCTTTTCTACCTATGTTCTATAAACTCCCAAATCTCGATCTCTAGCAGGGATCACTTTCCAGAACCCTACAGCTATATATCGAACCTTGAAGTGGACCTCTCCACCTGGACATGCCACAGGTATCTCAAATCCAACATATATCCAAAATGACTTTATTACCTTTTTTTTTTTTTTTTTGAGTCAGTGTCTTGCTCCGTTGCCTAGACTGGAGGGCAGTGGCATGATCTCAGCTTACTACAGCTTCAACCTCCTCAGCTCAGGGGATCCTTCCATCTCAGCCTTCCAAGTTGCTGGAACTACAGGTGCGTGCCACCATGCCCAGGTAATTTTTCTATTTTTTTATAGAGACAGGCTGGTCTCAAACTCCTGGGCTCAAGCAATCCTGCTCGGCCTCCAAGTGCTGGGATTACAGGTGTGAGCCACTGTACCTGGCGCTTTATTAACTTTTTTATGGTGCTGTCTCTTTCTGCTGTCCACTCTCACTCTATACCTTAGCCCATGCTCTATCATCACCCTAGTGACCCAGCAGAAACCCTGAGTTAGATCTTCCCACTTTCTCATTTCCCAAATCTCATCAGACACTAAGTTCGGTCACTGCTATATTAGTTCAGGTCCAGTTTCTCTCTCACCTGTGCTATTACCCGTAGCCTTCTGCCTAGAAACCTCCTGCCTACTACCAGGGTTATTTCCCTAAAATACAATGAGTTTCCTCTCTTGCATTGAATCCCTCAGTAACTTCCCCGGTCTTTACCACAAAGTCCAAGTCCCTCAGCAAAATCTGACCCCTGTTCCTTCATTCAAACTGCTATACTCCATTGTAACCTAGGAAATTAATATTGAAACACCTCTAAGGCACTGACACAACTCTATTGAGCTATTAAAATAAGTGGAAAAAAGTTTAAAAACCATCGCTTAATAGTATCAAAAGAAAACCACCCAAAGTTGCCAGAGACCAGCTCCAGCAGATCTGGGTTTCCTGACGGAGAGACGGCGCGGCGGACGTGCAGGAAAGAAATTGGACACCTGACTCTGCTGCAAGCAGGACAGATGCCAATTTATTGTCTTTTTTCAACTCCTTTTATACCCTAGATTTTGGCTCGAGGCAAAAACATATTTTTCATTTTCAAGACAATCAGTTTCAATTCAATGAACCGAACAGGCAATGTATCTTTATCCTGTTTTGTAAGTTACACCTGTGACACAGCAATTTGCAATTAACCAGGGTAAAGCAACATTCTCAAGGTCTCTTAATGGCAAGTTGGCCTGACTTGCTTTCCACAATGTCACACCTGGTATTTACAATCTGCATCAATTGTCCCTTGTCAGGGAGAATGGGCTTCAATGTTTATAAGACAAAAGGCTCCCAGGGCTCAATTTATCTGAATCACAATCCCTAACCAGAATTGCAGGCCTTCTTAACAAAGGGAAAATAAGACCAAGGGTGCTCTAATGGAAGAGTATCCTTCTAACAAAACAAATCCTTCCTTTACTAAGCACTACCATTTGGTAAGAATTATTTCTCCCATATGGAACTCTTTACATCTTCCAACTTCCAGGTTTCCAGTGGCAAGATCGAGAGTAAAGGTAGAAGAAGCAGGAACAACAGCTGCCCAGACCCAGAGTTGTCCTGCAACCTGGGGTCTTCGGCCTTCCGGACCCTGTCAACGTGAAGGCCTCTAAGGCTAGCTCCTAGCAGAAAGTCAATCCAATGAAGATTGGGTAAAGATAACTTCACCTGTACCCAGACCACTTATTATTATTATCCTGACTTGTACCCTACAACTTTGAAATAAAATAAGAAAAAAGAAAGTGTGGCATACTCATTTAATGAAATAATATTTAGCAGTGAAAAAGGATGGCCCACTGCCATACACAAAACAATATGGGTGGGATTCTTAGATATAACTACAAGCAAAAGAAGGCAGGCACACAGGAGTATGATTCCATTTATATGAAGTTCAAGATTAGACAAAACTAATCTGATTGTGGAAGTCAGAATAGTGGTTACTTCTGTGGCTGATATTTGTTTGTTTGTTTGTTTTCTTTTTTGGTTTGACCTCTCTAGGTTTTCTTTTCTTTTGTTGAGTTGGAGCCTCACTCTGTTGCCCAGGCTGGAGGACAGTGGCATGCTCACAGCCACCACAGCCTTGACCTGCTGGGTTCAGGGGATCCTTCCGCCTCAGTCTTCCAAATAGCTGGAACTACAGGCGTATGCTACAACGCCTGGCTAACTTTTGATTTATTGTAGAGACGAGGTCTTGCCAAGTTGCCCAGGTTGGTCTCAAACCCATGGGCTCAGGCAGTCCTCTCACCTCAGCCTCCCAAAGTGTTGGGATCATAGGCATGAGCCCCCACGCCCTACCTGTGGGTGATATTTGCTGGGAAGGGGCACGAACAAATTCTGCAGAGTTGGTAATGTTCTATATCTCCATCTGTGTGGTTATTGCATGGACCCTGTCTATTCTTCTATCTGTCCATCTCTATCTGTCTGTCTGTAAATATTAATCAAGCTATAAAGTTAAGATCTGTACACTTTGCTAAATATATATATCATACCTGCTATTAGTCCATTTGGGTTGCTATAACAAAATTCCATAAACTACTATAAACAACAGGAATTTTCTGGGTGTGGTGGCAGAGGCAAGAGGGTTGCCTGAGCCCAAAGGTTGGAGACCAGTCTGGACAACTTGGCAGACCTCGTCTCTAAAATAAATATAAAAAAATTAGCCAGGCATAGTGGCCCATCCCTATAGTTCTGGCTACTCGGAAGGCTGAGGTGGAAGGATCACCTGAGCCAAGCAGGTTGAGACTGTGGTGGCCATGAGCATGCCACTGCATTCTAGCCTGGGCAACAGAGTGAGATTCTGACCAAAAAAACCCCCAAACAAACAAGATAGTTCTGGAGGTTGTGAAGTCCAAGATCAAAGCACTGGTGAGAATCTCCTTTGTTATATACGGCTGTCTTCTCACTGCAACCTCACACGGTAGAATGGGCGAAGGGTCTCTCTGGCCTGTTTTATAAGGGCACTAATCTCACTTACAAGGGTCCTGCCTCCTAAAACCATTACCTAGGGGGTTAAGGTTTTAATGAATGAGTTTTAGGGAAACACAAACATTCAGACCATAGCACATCACAATGTAAACATTGCTAAAGTAAGGCCAGGTGGGTGGCTCATGCCTGTAATCCCAGCACTTTGTGAGGAGGAGGAGTTGAGAGAATTGCCTGAGCCTAGACGTTTGAGACCAGCCTGGGCAACTTGACAAGACCTCATCTCTACAATACATCAAAAATTAGCCAGGTAGGGTGGCATGTGCCTGTAGTTCCAACTACTTGGAAGACTGAGGCAGAAGGATCACCTGAGTCCAGCAGGTCAAAGCTGCAGTGGCCATGACTGTGCCACTGCACTCCAGCCAGAGCGACAGAGTGAGACTCTGACTCAAAAAAAAAAAATTGCTAAAGTAAAAAAAAATGTGCTGAGTGAATGTGGGGAGACAGGCACATTGCTGGCTGCCCTGCAAATTGAGAACAGTCTTGGAAAGCAGTCAGGCAGTATGTAATGAGAGTGAACTCTCCACATCCTTTTCCCCACTGATTCATTTGGGTAAGATTTCCTAAGAAAAAAACAGGAAAAAAAATTTAGAAAATATTTGCATAAAGATGTTTACAACAATATTACCTATAAAAATAAAAAACTCTATACCAACCATATGTCCAGTTAGTGAGAAAAGTTTATGTAAACTACAGTAAAGTAATATAATAGGACTGCATAATTACTTTTAAAATTATCTTGCAACTTATTCAAATACGTGAAATATTAGGACAGGTGCGGTGGCTCAGCCTGTCATCCCAGCACTTTGGGAGGCCAAGGTGAGTGGTTTGCTAGAGTCTGCGGGTTTGAGACCAGCCCTGGCAACTTGGTGAGACCTTGTCTCTACAATAAATTTAAAAATGAGCCATGTGTGATAGCACGCACCTGTAGTTACGACTACTTGGAAGGCTGAGGTGGAAGGATCACCTGAGCCCAGCAGGTCAGCACTCAGGTGGCCATGAGCATGCGACTGCACTCCAGCTTGGGCAGCAGAGTGAGACTCCAACTCAAAAAATAAAAATAAAAAATGTTCATTCCAAACTCAGAATGCACATATAGGTACCAAATTATACCAGTTATCTTATTACATACAAATTGCCTAAAACTTAATGGCTTAAAACAGTCGCCATTTTATTTGTTCACAATTCTGTGGGTCAGTCATTTGAACTAGGCTCAGCTAGGTAGTTTTGCGGTTGTCCTGGTCTGGGATCAGTCACGTGACCACAGTTATCTGATAGTTCAGCTGGAGTTGGGTGGTATAAGAAGGCCTTGCTCTAGCCGGGCTCCTTGGCTCAGCCTGTAATCCCGCGCCTTTGGGAGGCTGAGGTGAGTGGATTGCCTGAGCCCGCGGGTTCGAGACTCGCCTGGGCAACTTGGTGAGACCTCATCTCTACAATAAAGCAAAAATTA